TTCACACTCTTAAATGACAATAGCTGTCTTTTATTGACTCCTGTAAACATTACTCTAATCCTCACATGGATCCCATTACAAAGATATTGCCCTTCTTCTACAGAAGACATACCTGAGGTTCAGAAAAGTTGAATTATTTGTCCAAGACCACTAGCCAGTATATGGCAAAGCCTGGATTTGAAAGATGAACTGCAAGAAACTTCTTTCTTAATCATCAGAAAGATTTAGTAAATAACTTCTCTGGTATAAATGACAGGGGACAGGATAATAGTACTTTATTAAATTACAAAATGGAAGTAGTTTGGAAACCAGTACAAGCAAAGTTAAGGTCATGTTCGTACCCACTGCTTTTTTTTTCTTTTAGTTTTTTACATTTATTTTATTTATGTACTTTTATGTTGTGCTGAGGATTGAACCCAGTGCCTCACGTGTGCTAGGCAAGTGCTCTAATACTAAGCTACAACCCCAGTCCCCCTACTGCCTTTTGAACCCTTTTCTAAATACTACCGAGTATTAGAAAAGTAGATTTTGAGAATCAGCTATATTGGATATAAAAGGAAATAAATTTACCTATTCAGAAACTGCAGATTATTTGAGGCTATTTCAAATTCTCTGTATCTATATCGGATTGCTATATTCATTGGGGGATAAATGTATCCCCCTTCATATAGAATGAAAGTGACATTTGAAAACAGTTGATATATCCTACAGTAAGGTCCATTGATCATTTTAAAGTCTATTTGTGATGGGTTGACCTAGGGATATGTATTGCTAAAATCCTTTCAGAGTTCAACTTCTCTTACTTCAGATGTGCTCCAACCTTATAGAACATTATCTCCAGATTTTTGTGCTTTGTTTTCTTTCATGATTATATAGGTTAGCACTTTCCAACGAAAATATTATTGAGTCACACATTCAATTGTAAATTTTTTAGTAACCACATTTTAAAAAGTAAAAACAAAGACAGGTGCAGTAGTGCACACCTATAATCTCAGCTACTTGGGAGGCTCAATTGAGCCCATGAGTTTGAGACCAGTCTGGGCAATGTAGTGAGACTCTGTCTCAAGAAATGAAATGAAATAAAATGAAAAGAAAACATAGGTGAAATTTTAGTGATTTATCTTAACTCCACATATCTAAAATAGTACCATTTCAACATGAAATCTATATAAAAACTTACAAGATATACTGTTTGGTACTATCTTCAGAATCTGTAGTGTGTTATATATTTATAGTAACTTATCTGGTTGTTGTAGCCATTATTTCGAATGCTCAATAGTCACATGTGGCTAGTGGCTACTGTTTTGGACAGTGCTTTATTGTGTGTTTACATAGAGAAATTTCATATTACCTGGAGAAACAGGGAATAATACTTCAGAATGCCAGTTATTTATTTGACATTGTTATTAGATTGTCATAGTTATATAGACTTGAAGAGTGAACTATAGAAGCATGGAAAAATTAAGAATTAAATTTTATTTTAAAATCTGTGGTTGAGTTTTTTTGCTTATACAATATTAGTTTTAGAGCTTATAGAACTGCTAATGTGGATTTATTCACTAATGAAAATCCTTAGGAATAATTAGTGTGAACATGTAGATTACTAGAAAGCATTTAGTTTCAACAAAATTCATGGTATCTGCCACTAACCATCTGTAATCTCAAGGGAAATGGATACTCTTCAAAATTGTTTCCAGTGTTACAAAATTAAAAATCTCAGCTTTTAAAAATGCAACTTTTTAATATAAGTAGTCTTGGATATGAGTTTCGTTATTGTTATATACCCCTCAAAGTTACTGGTTTGAGAAAGAAACTGGTTATATCTTTTTATTAAAGAAATCTTATTTTGGGTCTCTAGATAAATCATTACTTGAAAAAAGAATTTGAAAAAGATGAGAAGCCACGTGACAAGTCGTATCAGAATGCAGTTTTAGAAGATATTTTTAAGAAGAATGACCATGATGGTGATGGCTTCATTTCTCCCAAAGAATACAATGTATACCAGCATGATGAACTATAGCATATTTTTATTTCTACATTTTTTAGCTACTTACTGTACTTTAATACATTATACAGTCATTTTTCTCCAGGTTGTGTTTCTATTTTTCTCCTGTGAGATATTTTGTTCCCTTCAATACATGTAATTTTGTTTAATAAATGTGATGCTGTTTTGCAAATTTATCTCTTAGGAAAGGTATGATTGTGTTTCCTATTGCTTTATTCTTTGAACACAAATTGCAATGCCATGAAATGGACCTGTAACTGAGTGGGCAATATTTTCCCGTCCAAGGTATAAGAGAACACGTGTCAAAATCTGCAAGCTCTTCCCAACTCTAACCTAACCTGAACAATATGTATAAATATGTAAAGGTTCAATATTTTAGATATTAAAATGTTTCATATTTTTAAAATATGAAGTAGGGACTCAGGAACTAGTATATCATCTTTTTATGTATTTAATAACATTATTGAAAGAATTGTGGTCCTTGGCATGCATGAAGGAAGATTTTAGTTGTGTATCTCTGTCCCACAAAGAACTTTTTTGGTGAAAGCTTCTAGCCTTGCATGTTTGTTCCAGTTGGGAATGCTAAGAGGTAGATATATGACCATAATAAAGACTTTTTGCCTCTTATAAAAGGCATAAAGTCAATACTTCTTAGTAAATGTGCTACTGTCTTCCCTCTTGTGGACTTTTATATCTACCACCCCTTTTTGTCTTCATAGTTTTCAATGGATGCCATGGAGTTTCTTAGTTACCAGTATCCTTTCTCTAGAACTTTTCTCATGTCATTTCATTTTACAACATTCTCATCATTAATGTGAATGATGATTATGAACGGGCATGCTGTCAAATTTTGATAACTATAAAACTTTTATTTTTACTCCAAATGAGGATATACAGAGCTGGGTCAATTTTGTGTCATGGTCAAATCATGATAGTGGTCTACTATATGTTTTAAATATGAAGTGTCTCCCAAAATCTCATGCTTGAAACAATTTAAGAATTTTCAGATGTGAAATGATGAAATTATAAGAGCGATAACTTAATCAGTGGGGTAACCTGCTGATAAGGATTAAGTGGGTGGTAACTTTAAATAGATTGAATGTAGATGAAAGAGTTGGGTCACTGAGGGGATGCCTTTTGGGTTTTTGTCACTAGTGAGCAGAGCTCTGCTTCCTGGTAGCCATGTCCTGAGCTGCTTTCCTCTTCTACCATGAAGTTCTGCCTTACCTCAAGCCCAGATGAACGGAGCTGTCTGTGTATGGACTAAGACCTCTGAAATCACGAGCACCAAATAACTTTTTCTTCCTCTAAAATTTTTCCCATCAGCTCTTTTGGTCACTGTGATGAAAAAGTTGACTTAGAACATCTAGCTTGTTGAGAGTAATATGTAAGAGATGCTGTAAAAGATCACTGTGCCAAAGAAAGGGCACATATTTATTAAAGCATGTAAAATTTTGCATACTACATAACATACATATATGGAGAAGTATGGTCAGGCAGTGCATAGCTCTGCTCAAAATAAGTGAGTTTGAAGCTTTTTCTATTTTCTGAAATTTGCTCCTTCTAAACCATTGCTTACCTTTTAACTTAATTAGATACAATGCCAGAGATTCTATTTAAAAGTCCAGGGGTAATACAGAAACCACCACATTAATATCATGTATGCGTAGATACTTTACTATCTTCATTCTTTCTGGTATGTTTTTGCTTCTATACTCGATTTTCTAACACTTTTTGGCTTGCTTAATTATAACTCTTTGATCATTTTATTTCCCTCAGAAAAGGGAAGTAAAACAGGAATGGTGGCATGTGCCTGTAATCCAAGCTCTCTGGAGGCTAAGGCAAGAGGATCATCTTGAGCCCATGAGGCCAGACTAAGCAATCAACAACAACAACAACAAAAAGACCTTTCAGAACTAAACATATTAAATGTCTGAAACATTTTCAAAGAAGAAACAGACATGTTCTATTTATTTATTTTTTTTTATTTTTTTTTTAAAGAGAGAGTGAGAGAGGAGAGAGAGAGAGATAGAGAGAGAATTTTTAATATTTATTTTTTAGTTCTCAGCAGACACAACATCTTTGTTGGTATGTGGTGCTGAGGATCGAACCCGGGCCGCACGCATGCCAGGCGAGCGCACTACCGCTGAGCCACATCTCCAGCCCCTTGCCTTAACTTTTAAAATGACAATAGAAACCAGGTATTGTGTCACAGACCTGTAATGCCAGCTACTTAGGAGGCTAAGGGAGAAGGATCACAAGTTGAAGGCCAGCCTGGACAATTTAGGGAAAACCTTTCTCAAAATAGGCATAGTTCAGTGGTTTAATCCCAAGAACCACAAAAGATTTTTTAAAAAGATTAAAAGGAGTTTATGAAGTCAAAAAAAATTAAGCAAGTTTTATGAAGACAAAATTAGCATATGTATGTCACAGAATGGCAACCTATTACTACTTTCAGTCACACTGTTAACCAAGTACACAAAACCCCATGCGGAGCTCAGTGTTTTTAATTTGATACTGCAATTAAACATTTAGAATTATATTAAATTATTAACACATTTTTCTCTTTTTACCAGACCTAGAGCACTAAAGGACCATAAAGTAGCCACTGGTGCATTCTTGTCATCCTTAAATGTTGAATTAAAATTTGACTGAAAATAAAATTGATATTTAGAAAAATCTCTTAATTATATAAAATATTATCATAGACTAAATCCCAAAAATGATTCTAAATTAACTGGCAAAATTATGAAGGAATGACTATCTTCTGAATTTTAGGTTTGAATTTTTTTTACATACACAATGTTATTAATCATGACAAGTTATGAAGAAAAAAGTTGTGTCACATCTCCACTTTATGTGTTAGGAAAGTGACATCCACACAGGTTTTCCAGCTCTTCTCTCGGTTTAACTTACCATCAAAGCAAACTAGAGAAGGCTTATGATAGGCACAATTGCACTTAAGACACCAATGAGGCATATTCTGTTTTTTTCTTTTTATTTCATTCTCTTGTGCCAAATATCAAAACAAGGGACTGCGTGAAGTCTCACATACTTCTGTCCATCTACAGAACACTGAAAGCAACCATAGACTGTCTCCCTTTTGAAGTTCCCCATTCCACAGAGTATGCAAGGCCCTTTAGGAATGTTGTGATTAAGTAAGTTAACTCGGATATGAGTCCCTTCCTTGAGTGAAACATCAGTCATGCTGAGAGGTTTGTCATAGTAGTCAGAAAAAAGATCATCCAAGTAAAGCTGTGAACGAGAAATGGCATCCATCACTCTTCTGTCTAAAAGGACAAAAACAGAAATGTATTAGAAGTTAAAACAGAAAACAAACAGCCCAAACTGCATTTATAAATATATGACTCTAAACTATCAGTCATGAAATGATTTGGCTTTTACATTGAAATCTTCCCTTAATACATGGCATTATTGGATATTAATCCAGGAAGGAAAAAATTCATTTGAAATACTCTTCAAGAGACATACTTCTTTCAAATAGTATATTTCTCAGTCTGTAGAGCAGTGCAAGCGTTGCTGTTTCTTCCCTTTCAAATCCTCCTTTTGACACTGAAGTGACACAAAGGTCTACAAAACAATTTTGAGAAGATGTTATAACTTGAACAACTCATATGCTATGGGGTATTTTATAAGGCAATGAATTCTAGTAATTCATTCCACTTTTTTAAAGCTAAATTCATACATTTTTGGAAAAAGTTCATTCATATGGTACAAAATTCAAATCACATAAAAAGGGTATGCAGTGATAAGTCTCTAGCCCAACCGCACCCAGCCAGTCTTCCACCTTAGAGGCAATGTTAAGTGTCTGTGTATGCTTCCAGAAATACTCCATATAGTTTACATAAAAGAATATATATGTATGTGTATGTGTATAAAATTAGGACCAAATAGTTACACACTAGATACATTTCTTTAAAATATGTCTTAGATATTGGGCTCAGTGGTAAATGCCTGCAATCCCAGCAGTTCAGGAGGCTGAGACAGGAGGATCACAAGTTTGAGGCCAGACTCAGCAACTTAGAAAGGCCCTAAGCCATCTCAAAATAAAATACAAAAAGGGCTAGGGATATAGATCAGTGGTAAAACACCCTGGGTTAAATTTCCAGTACCAAAAAAAAAAAATTAAAAATACAATAAAATATGTCTTAGAGATTGTTCCATGTCAGGGTCTATAGAGACCTTGCCCTTAACAGCTTCCTATTATCCTGATTTATGGATGTTCCCTTAAGGTTGTTTTCAATCTTTTGTTATTAGGAACAGACTATCCTTATACCCAAACTATTTCACATGTGTGTAAGTACACCTGTAGGATAAATTCCTGGAAGTGCAAGGACAAACATACTTTCATTTAAGAATTAGAAGGATACAGGATACCATTGTGTCTTCTTCCCATACATCAATATAACTGTAAAAATCTACACTTAGCAGGTTCCAAATAGAATTTACTCAGAACGTAGTTTTGTTTCTAGGCTTCCTATTCTCTCCTCCCACAGAATTGTAGAAAAAGAACAAAACAGATCTAAAAATGTTTATAAATTATCATGGCTAGGGGGCTCTCTTCCTGGTCCTTTGGGCTATATATATACCTGGACTTGGGCTGGCTGGCGGCCAACCAAGCTTAAAGACCTGTGAAATGTAGAAGTTACAGTGAGCTACACAGAGCTATCACAAAAGAGGGCAATTCTGAAGGAAGTATCTATACTTCTAGTTATGTTTTTAGGGGAGTACAGGGGCAGTTGTATCTAATATAGGTAAAACTGAAGTATGGTGCCCTGACACTACAGGCCTCTTTTTACTACTCCTATTTACCACTATCAAAAACTACCTATCAGAAGGTCACTGATTATCTCCCTATGACTGACGGTGCTGAAAGCAGGCATCACTTTTCTATGATTGTCAGAGAAAGGAGGTGGGAGAGGGAAAGGGAGAGAGAGGCTTTCCCACTAAATTCTCCTTAAAAAAAAAAAAATCACTGTTTGAAGCAGATTCTCCACTCACCAAAGGCACCATCCAAGTAAATGAAGAGTTCAAAAACACTGAAAGCTATGGTTGTATGTGCTGGAAAAACAATAGCTTTGTCCCTTCCCTTGGGATTCTGTTCATCCATAAAATGAAACTATATTAAATAAATAAAAAATAAAAACATTATTAAGGATGCCAACACATCAGGATAGATTTTTTTGAGAAGCAAATCATCTTTTACAATACTACTAAAACAAAAAAACAAAACCTCTTCAAGTAAAGAATTACCCTGCTTGAATTAGACTGTCATAGCAGAGATCCAAGTGATCCAGCAGGAACTGGTAATCTGAATCGGGGAAGACTTCTAGACTATTTTGCTTACTTCAGTACCGAAGCCAATGATTAGGGCCAACCCAACAGTAATGCTCTCTGCAATAGAAGTTTTTTGTTTTTTTTTCTTAAAACTTCAAATCTAACAAAATAACTGTGTTGAGGTATTTTTGGCCTAATCTGTCTACTGTTTCAAATCCTCCAGAGTTTTTCTGCAACTTTCCAAAAGTGTTACCCATATTCCAATAATGCTTCAGTCTGTGCCCCTCAAATCATCCAATGTTAATCAGAATTCAGTGGACAGCTGAATGTCATACTGAACAGACCCTTACTTGTAAAGACTAGAAAAAGATTATTTAACTCTTACCTTTCTAACAATTGGCTTTAATCCTATCAAGGCATTATTAGGTGTCACTACATGACAAAGATAAAGAATATCATAACTGAGATCAAATTTAAACCCACATGGGCCAGGGTTGTGGCTCAGTGGTAGAGTGCTTGCTTAGCCAGTGTGAGACATATAAATTCTCAGCACCCACATATAAATAAATAAAATAAAGGTACATTGACAACTAAAAACATTTTTAAAAAATTTAAACCCACATAATTTTCTAATTTTTTAAAGGATTTAAAATTGAATGGAGCATGCTTTGACCATTGATAATATTAATTTAGAAAAACTATTTTATTATAAAATGTAATTTCAATGTTTAAAAATCCAAGTATGAACTATATAACTTAAAAGTAAAGTCAGGCCAGGCATGACAGCACACATCTATAAATCCCAGCTACTCAGGAGGCTGAGGCAGGAGAAGCCCAAGTCTGAGCCCGCCTTGGAAATTTAGCAAGACTCCATCTCAAAATAAAAAATAAAATGAGCAGGTGGTATAGCTAAGCAATAAAGCACTTGCCTAAGATGTGTGAGGCCCTGGGTTAAATCTCAGTACCTCAAAAATAAAATAATGCAACTTCAGCACTTAGTTTGTTTTCTTAAAGTAGAACTTAAATAGCAATGACAGAAATGCTGGCATGCAAATTATTCAACAAGAATTAATACTTTATCTGCATCATATTACACATGTTTAGAATCTATGTTTTCTTGGATTTTTTTCATGTTCTTAAACACAGTCATAACTGTGCAAAATCCTAAACCACTGCAGCTCTTTCATCTCAACATTTGATGTAATATCTAAGTTTCATTCTCACTGAGTGCTTTTTTAAAACTTCCCACAGCAACTCTGTAGCTAGTAAGCAAAGCCTAATGCTTCTGTCTTACCCGCATGGCTTCTCCTCGAATGCCAGCATGAACAGACAGGGAGCACTGTCGTGTGGTTCGAATGCTTTCCATGACCACGCAAAGCACAGCCTTTCTGCTGCTCCGTGACTGACGTATCAAGCTGTGATCGAAGTTAATTTTCCTAAAATAAAAAGAAGACAGTCATAGGATTCTTCAATATCAAATTATATATAATCCGGCACATTTTTTTCCTATCATGTGTTACTCATTCATAGTCCATCTTAACGAAATGTAAAAAAGGCAGACCTAATATAAACCAGAAAATACACCCAAAAGAATGTGAATACCCTGGCTCTTCCTTCTAATTTCTTAAAACAGGCTCATGTAAAGTGTTTTATTCTCTCTATTGAGTCTGTTGGAGGGGGCTCTCTACATTTGTTGCAGACAAAAAGTCTTTTTTTTTTTTTTTTAGTGTAATAATTTAGCAAATTTGTGTAGGGGCTTAGTGATTTTGTGGAACACTAGAAAATCTTCTTCAAACCAAATGATTCTTGGGTATCTACCCTGACCCAAAGTTCGGTATACTGTGATGGCAAAACCAGACCTGGTTGTAAAATGAAATTACCAAAAAAAAAAAAAAAGGTTTGGGTAAGAAACCAATGCTTGGGGAAAGTTCCCCTCAGCCATTCTTTAGGAAGCCTAATTAACCAATGGGTCCCTACCTTTTGGATTACTGTAAATAACTGCCTTAGGAGTTTAACTTCTCCCTCTTGAAATATAAACATCCCTGTGCTATGCTTTTAAGGCTAGAGATTTAACACATGCCTGTGAAAAGAGCCCTTTATCCTTATCTGTTTCTACAACCATGCTTACACAAGGCCTTAAGCCCTGTAGATTAGGAGTTTTTTTTCTTAAAGAAGAAAAAAGCCCCCAATGATAGGATGAGTGTAAAATGATGCCAAATAACCTATAAAAATTGTGAGAAACTGTGGATGAGTGCTCAGAATTAGAGTTTGTTCCCCTCTGGGCCCACCAGCATAAAATAATGTTTGGAGTTCTCCTCTCTGAGTGCTGCTTGCTGCTCCTCAACCTGTCTGTTTCCCGCAACAATACTACTAATTTGTAATATTTAAAAAAAAAATCACACAAATAAATTACATTAGTAAAATTAAGCATTCTTTACAAGGAAGTTTATATATATTAAAACTTTTAATTAAACCACTGACATGCATTTGGATTATTATACTGACCGTGTAGTAATTTCTTTGAGTAATGTTGATACTTCCACTTCATGTTTGGTTACTACACCAAATGAAGCTTTTACTGCAATGGAATCTGATCCAGTAACATTAATCCCAACGTCATTTACAATATGGTTGCCTCGCCTTCCATAAAGTGAAACATCTGATTCATCTTCATAATTCAGTAATTGATAAGATGAAATACCTTCATGAAAAGAAACTAGTATTTTTAAATGTCTCCAATTCAGCTTATATAGATTATATAAAGTTAATTTGCAATTCAAGATCCAATCTCATTTAAAAAAGCAACATTTCAGGCCAAAATTAAAATAGCAGTTCAATTTTACAATAACAAAAAACAAATAGCCAAATATTTCAAATGAAATCAAATTATCTGTTCAGTCAACAAAATTTCTTAAATATCAAGATGTACTAGGGTATTGAAATATAAACAGGTGTTTAGAAGCAGTAACTTATCAAAATGTCAATTAACTTTTTAATCAAGCTTTAAAAACACATTTAAAAACACATTTAATCAAGCTTTAAACACACATTTCAGTTTACCAAGTGTAATAATTGAATTGTAAACAAAATTCAGATTATTTTTATCTCATTTGATTATGTAAGAGATAAGATCAAATAATACACTAATTTACAGAGGAAAAAATACTATGTCATTTTCTAAGTTGATTTTGATTAAAACAGCTTATAAAATAATTAATAGACTTTAAAAGTATTCAATAAGAGATTTGATATTACATAAACTTTAGACATTGTTCATCTCAATAATATCATTACTTTCATTATAAAAGTTGCTTTTTTTTCATTGAAAATATGTATTACTAGTATAAATAGTACATAGGACCTCTGTTTAGGTTACTAATAACAGTTCCATGAGTAGTCACTACCAAACATTTAAACTTACCAGCTGAAATTTCTCTGTCTCCTAGGAGAATATCTTTCAGTGTAAAAGGTGTTGAGGTAAATTTATATCTAGGAAACAGAAAGCATCGCTTCTTTTTTACCACCAGACTGAGAGGTTGGTATTTGTCAGCTTCACTGAGGCTTGGAACTGGAACTAATCTCCCTCCATCTCCAACTTGCTTGACAAAACTCTTTGTAGCAGCAGCAAACATATTAATATCAAAATGTCATCAACTGCAACCCCCAGGTAACAAAATCCATTTTCAAACAAGAAAACCAGGCACAAAACTAAGCTTGCTTGATCTTAATACAATTATACATGTTAAAAATACAAAGCATGCTTTCACCAAGTAGTTTACCCGCGTACACCTCACAACATTGCCTGTCTTCATGTGCTCAAGTAATAAATAATAGATCAACGGTGTAAAATGATATACTAAAAGCAAGTCTAATTTGGAATGGCAATTTATAGCACTAAAATATACACAGAAAATGAATTCCAACATACCACTGACATCTTTGATGAGAATCACAGTTGATAGTGATTTTCTAGTAGCAATGGGCTGATTCTGAGGGAAGCAGATAGCCCCATGGGAAACACTGCAATTTAGGCACTAACATTAGTCCTGGATACTATCTATAATGGACCTAGTCCAAAGGGAATTCCTTCACAAGTTCACTAGGCAAATTTTGGCCACAGAATAGTGAAACTTTGTGGTATAGAGTTAATGCAGGAACATTTTCACAAAAACCAAGTGCCTAATATTAAATACAAATACACAGAATACAGGGAAACAAATGCCTGCAGATCTTTACAAAATACTAAATTAAAGCCATTTTACACATTTAGAAAACTATAAAATATTATGCAATGTTTTCTTACTCAGAAGCTACGCACTCAGTCTATATAAACTGAAATGGAGTCATGCTGCACTTATTTTGTTTTTATTTCATCATTATTATCCTACTCAATCTATAAAGAGATCTATAAAAGGTTTTCACTTGTTTTTTCTTTTTTATTTATTTATGTATTTGTTTTAATTAGTTACACATGACAGTACACTGATCTTGACATACCATACATGTCAGATGGGATATAATTTCTCATTTTTCTGAGTGTACAGGTTGCAGAATTACATTAGTCATGCAGTCACGTATATACCCACAGCAATAATAATGTCTATTTTATTCTGCTGTCCTTCCATTCCCCCTTTCCCCTCCCCTCCCCTTTCACTTGTTTTTAAGAAACATTTTAGCTAAAAATACATTTCCAAAGCAAATCTATACTAAATTTTTAATGAACGTTCAAGCAGTGTTTCTGTGGTCCTTAAAGATGTTCACTGAAACTTAATACAGTTGGGTATTTAGTTGATATACATACATACATACATGTGTGGTGTAGAGGAAGAGAGACTAGGCTTAATTCAAACCTCAAATAATGGAAATTAATTTGATTAGATTCTTGGTATTTTTTTTTTCACTCGCTTTTCAGTGTTCAGGGGTCAATGCAACCCAAAATGTACTTTTAGTAACGAATGTCCTTTCTGGGGGCTGGGGCTGTAGCTCAGTGGCAAAGCACTTGCCCAGCATGTGTGAGGCACTGGGTTAGATCTTTAGCATTACATAAAGATATAAAGGCATGCTGTTCATCCAAAACTAGGGGAAAAAAATTTAAAATAATAATGTCCTTTGTGAAAACAGTATTGTGCAAAATCATCTTCCAAAAGCATTGGTTCAACCCTTAGCACCACATAAAGAAATAAAAGACACGTTGTCCATCTACAACTATAAATTTTTTTTAAAAAATAATAATGTCCATTGTGAAAACATCATTGTGCAAAACCATCTTCCAGAACACCTTGTAAGCACAGGGAACCATTTCTGCACGTGGAAAGCAAACATTTAGAGAGACGACACAACTAATGTCGCAGTCTGATCCCCACAAAAGGTAGCGCATCCACCAACGCCATTACAACCAACAAAACTGGAACCTGGCCTACAGAAAGGCCTTCCTTTACACCTAACAAGCCTTGCTGGGCTCTGCTGACCCGGTGTCCAACTTGCCTCCAAGACAAAGGAGCCCGCCCAGCAGGAGAGAAGGGTCTCCAGAAGCCCCAGAGGACGCAGAAGCTGGAAAAGGCTGCTCAGCTTTCAGGAGCTCTCAGGAGCCCATAAATCAAGGGTCTCAAGTTCATCGCCAGGTTCTCAGAGGTTCCCTAGCAATTTTGCATTAGCATTTTCAAATCTTTCTTAAAGTGAACCTGTCCCCAGATTGTCCTCCCCACCCCTCAAACACACTGGACTTCTGGCCTCGCTAACCCTGAGCCCACAGGAATAAGCATTCTTTCCGGGTGGCAAACCACCTCCTAAGGCCCCAAAACTCAAGCTCCAGGCGCAGTGACAGCGGCAAACAAATGACCGACCAGGATGCCACAGGAGCTTAAGTGGAGCGCAGGCGGGAACTGGGAAAAGCTGGGGTATGACAGAGGGGGCGGGGCCTGGAGAGGGGAGGGGCCAGCACCGTGAAGTCTTGGGAGCCGAAGGGGATGCAGGCCAAGCTGGGAAGAGCCGGCGCTGGGAAGAGCCGGGAGAGGGGCGGGGCCTGGCTAGTAGCAGGGCCTGAGGTCCGGCAGCGAGGGGGTGTGGCCGGCGCCATAACGCCGAGTCCCCGCCCTTCCTCCCTTCACCCCGCCCCGCCAGTTCCTTTCGCAAGAGGGACGCCTGCAGCAAGGAGACGGGGAGGCTGTAGTGCTGGAGAGCTCCGCTCGGGGACCGGCCGACGCGGGAAGCGAGGACGCCGTTCCGCACCGCTCTTTCTCGCTCCGCCTAGCCGTCCCTTCTTGCCATGTCTCAAAGCAGACGTCGCGCGGAGGCTCCGCCACTGGAGCGCGAGGACAGCGGGACCTTCAGGTTCGAGCCCGGGCAGTAGGGGCCGCAGGGCCGAGAGTGGTGGGCAGCAGAGGAGGGGGCGGGGAGCCGGCCCCGGCGGCATTCTGGGTAAAGCCCCTTCCTGTCGCCCCCCCCCCCACACACACACACCGTGGTGCTCTGCCCCGCCCTCTTGGCGGCGACTGGCTGGGGTCTAGGCCGGGCCGCCGGGGTCTGTGGCCGCGCCCCGCCCCTTTTGTGGCTCTTGGCGGCGCGCGGGGGAGACGGGGTGGCAAAAGGTGACACGCGCGGACTGGGTTGGTGGACTTGGTCTTGAGAGTATGTAGCCGTGTGCCCCTGAGAACACCTTTCTGTCCGCATTCGAATTCTGTCTATAAAGACGTCCCTCCTTCACCCTGCTATCCCCTGCTGGGTGACTGCCGCAGCAGAGCTGGGAGACAGGTGCGCACAGGCCTTGCCAGCTTTGGTCCTGGCTGCCAGGAAGCTACAGTAATTCCCCGGTCACCATTGATAGCAGTCAAAATTGGCCCTGTGTATGCTTCTGCTTCCCTGTTTGCTTTGACATGCAAAGCACACCTTTTTCTGGTTTTTGCAGTTTGGGGAAGATGATAACAGCTAAGCCAGGGAAAACACCGATTCAGGTATTACACGAATATGGCATGAAGACCAAGAACATCCCGGTTTATGAATGTGAAAGATCCGATGTGCAGATACACGTGCCAACTTTCACCTTCAGAGTAACCGTTGGGGACATAACCTGCACAGGTCTGTATGCACAGTTAACCCCTTGACCCTGCTGGTTGGCAGTCCAGACTTGATGTTGCTTTTCAATTGGGAAAAGTGCCCCTTTTGCCAGAGACAGCTATGAGGGGCAGGTTTTAAAACGGAGACCTCATATATTAGGTTGTTAAGAGCTTTTCAACTTCATCTGATTCTAATTTTCTCTTCTCCAGATACAAGGATGCTCAGATAATAAAAAGTTATCCAGGCATCCTACAAGGCTCTTCACACACTATAGGATCCTCCCAAGGTTCCTCCAAGAATTAAAAAGAAACCGGAAGGGTTCTTGGAGCCCTCATAGCTGGGTCAGTAGGTACTATCAAGTTTCATAGTTTTATAAATTATAGCAGATACAGGGAGGCATGACCCCAGAGTTGTCTGAGTTTCCCTTCTGTCTTTATAGAATTATTTGGAACTTTGGATCTCTTGTATCACTCTTAATTATGTCCACAAAAAAAAACAAACAAAAAAAAAAAGGCAAAACAAAGGAATGTAGAAAGACTCCCATTCATTGTATTACTTAGTAGCTTCTGGTTCCTGAAACTGTACAAGTATTTTGTATAAGATAGTATCTCCTTTTTATACATGAAGAAACAGGTTCAGAGAGATTATAAATAACATGCTCTGAGTCACACAGCAGTGAAGTTTCAAAATTCAGATGCATGCCCATTTGTAAATATGGACATTATTTTTCTCATATACCTATTTAATTGCAAACAAAAAAATAATACTAAATTTAATTTGGAAAAATGCCAAGAAAAGCATTAGTAGGAAGACTGAAATTATATCATCTGATAATCTGAAGACATCATTTGTATGTGTCCCTGGAAATTTGGACTCCTATTTTCATCGAAGCTACTTTAACAAAAATATGAAGCTTTTTTTCTATGTGAGACAGGTGAATAAGAAGTGTGGCTGCAATGTTCCTCATATGAGCCATAGTGTCAACATTGCATTATTATTTAAGTTGTTCTATTTTTAAATATCCAGTGGAAGTTTAAAAAGAAGTAGTCCCTCCCACCCCAGTGTGCTTTAGGCCAGGGAATGATTACTTGTTTCTAGGGCTGGATTTGTGGCTCAGTGGAAGAGCACTTGCTTGCTTGGCCTGTGTGAGGCACTAGGTTCAATCCTCAGCATCACATAAAAAATTAAATAAAGATATGTGTCCATCCACAACTGAAAAATATTAAAACAAAACAAAACACCTGTTTCTATTATTATCCCTTGGACCTCTTCTCCCACTACCCTGTCTTCCTGTGCTAGCTAATCTGCCTCCATGGTTTCAAATACCAGATAAAGGCTAATAATAAAGAAATATCTTTCCTCCAGTCCCATTTGCAGAACAGTGTATCAACTTGTGTGCTTGCTGGGGAACTTTGTTTGGATGATACAAAGGCCTCTCAGACTCATTGTCTCAAACTGAATGTATCTTTCCCCTTAAGCCCATTTTTTTGCACTCCTTTTCTCTGAAAAGGCAGCATAGTCACACAGTCGCTCAGTAGAAATTCAGGATTTGTATTCT